ATGGAAAATAGGTCTGGTTGGCTTATGTAATCTTCGTAAACTCATAAAGGTAGAAGACTAGGTGACCAGGATTGAAATCCAAGCCAAGTAGCTCCACTGTCTACATATTCATTTATTCTTATTCTACATTTCCCTCTCTATTTGTGGTAAGTACATATCTTAAAATAATTTTTTTGTGGAATGGAGTGTTGCTCAGTGGTTATGGCTTGTCTACTATGCACAAGGCCCTGGGTTTTATCACTGACCTGAGAACCAGTTAGGAGGAACGGGGGGTGGTTATTGTCAAGCTATTCTTAATGTAGATTGTCTAACAGGGATTCATAGAGACATCTGTACCCCTCTGTCCCAAATATTCCACATTGTAACTGCAGTCAGTTGTTAATTATGGATTACATTTTCTGTTTGTAACAAACATGAGTGTCAAATTTCAAAACACAAATATCTCATTTAAATCAAAATCACTTTTCCCAAATTAACCTGAATGAGATACCACAAAACAAGACACTTGTGAGTGTGGCAAGCAACAGTGAGAGGCAAGTAGGTGAACTCTATAAAACCAATGTTTTTTTTTTTTTTTTCATATAAATCTGAATGCTGGAAGATTCTAGGGGGTTCTGTTCTAAATGTTTGTCATCTATATTAGATTAGACATCAAAAATCTGCCTTGATGACAGTATTACATCCTGTTGTTTTTTGCAATTAAAAATTTAAAATCTCATACAATGCTTTAAGGAAGCTATGCAGAGTAATTTAAAAGTGTATCACATCTTGGCACTTTGGTACTTTGAATTGACTAATACTACACATTACAATCATAAATGATGAAGCCACTAAAAACCATTTTGTTTGTTTAAGTTAAAGGCCAGTACACCATTCAGAACAATCAAAGATTCTTCCAACCAAAACACAAATATAAAAAACAAATCACAAAACATCTGTTAGTATTGAAGTATCCTAATCTATTTAGAATAAAAATCATTACCAAGGCTTGAAATATGTTTGAATTTGTCTTATTTCAATAAAAAATGCAATCATTAATTAATCAAATACACATTTCTGAAACACTCCATAAATAGGCTTTTGTGAGAAAAGATTCTCTAAGCACTTATAAAGTCCTACTTTTAAAATTGTAAAAATTCACTTTTCAAAAGCACTGTAATTTATTTTCTTGACTTTTTTGGAGGGGGTGGATATAAATCTTCCTCCATTTAAAAACTGTTCTTAATGTAACACATCTTATGTTGTAAACAGTGAATGAGAAGAATCTGTAAGTGTTTCAAGGACAATCATGACTCACTTATGCTTATGAAAACAAGAATGATTGAAAGAGGTATTTTCCATGCAGAAATAAAGTGTGGACTATAACTTTTATTACTCTAAAAGCTTTCCTCTAATTTCTGTATATATATTCAATTCTTTTTCACAAACCATTTATTGTTATGAATAAATTTTGCCACCTGTGGAAACTCCTTACTTTTGTATTCAAAAGCCAGCTCATTTAGCATTTCAAGATCCTTTCTGAGAGATAATGTAATACTGTTCACTGGTTTTTAAATGAATAACAAAAAGTGACAATGGAGATCAACAATAGAGTATTTAGCACTGGCAAGTAGTGTAGTTGAGTCCGTTGTTTTTTGTCTTGTCAAGGAAAAGGAGCTGTTTATACCCCCATACCTATAACATATTTCCAATAAGAATGACAAGCATATTTCATGTCTTGACATACAAAAGAAATAAAAGAGATAAAATTCAACCCATTAACATTTGCTTTCCCACGATCTTCACTCAGAGAAGATCTTCTAAAACTGAAGAAGTCAAATTTGTGGAAATTAATTTAGATTCTATCTTTCCACCTCAAATATATTATAACCCTCTATTCTGTGTTATCACATAGTTTTGAATGTACTTTTTTTCACATTTTATGAATTTCAGCTAGTACGTCTCTGCCTCCTCCATTAAAATTAATCTACCATAGATATTTTCATTGACTAAAGAGTTAAGTTAATTCATTTTCTTTAGCATTTCAATTTTGTTATAAATTAACTCTTCATAATTATATATATATTGATGGGGTGAAATTTTGATACATAAATACAATATGCAATAACTAAAACAAGCTAATAAATATATACATCATGCCAAATAGTTATCATTTTGTGAAAAGAATTGCCTTTAAGCAATTAAAAAATATATATTAACTATGGCTACCATATTCTTCAGTAGATCCTTAAAAATGTTCTTCTGATTCACTGTTGTACCATTTTATCATCATCTCTTGATCCTCCAATTGTTTACCCACCATTCTACTGTTTACCCCTATGAGTTTCTTTGTTTTAGATACCAAATGTTAGCAAGAAGATACTGTATTTCTTTCCATATATGGATTATTTACTTACCATAATGTTTTCAATTTCACATGATTTTACACAAAGATCAGTTTCTCTTCTAATGCTCACTAGCATTCCATTGTTTATATATACTACATTTGCTTTATTCATTCATCCAGTGTTGATGAATATACTTAGACTGATTTCATAATGTTTATTGTGAATAGCACTGCCATGAGCATTACAGTATAGATGTCTCTTTTATAAAGTGATTTTAAGTCTTTTGAGTAAACAGTTGAAAAAAATAATATAGTATTTCTATTGTCAATATTCTGAGGGGACTTCAGACAGTTTTTCACAGTGGTTGCAAATATACATTTCTACCAAGTGAGTATATGTTTTTCTCTTTCTCCATATCTTCCTTTGTTTTGTTTTGTTTTTTTGTTTTTGTTTTTTGGGGTTTTTTTTTTTTGTTGTTTTTGTTTTTTGAGACAGGGTCTCACTATGTAGTTCAGACTGCCCTGGAACTCACTGTATAGCTCACAGTTGGTCTCGAACTCACAGCAATCCTCCTGCCTCAGCCTCCCGAGTGCAGGGATTACAGGCATGCTCCACCACGCCCAGCTCTCCATATCTTCATAATCATGTGTTATCTTTTATCGTTTCAATAATAAACATTCTGACATATTTGTAGTGATGATTCATTATAGTTTTACTTTTGAGTTCCCTGACCATTAGTGATGTTGAACAATGTTTACATATCTTGCTAGCCACTTATATCCCTTCTTTTGAAAGATATCTATTCTGATCCATTTTACCTGGCTTGCTTTTTAACTGGTGAGTTATTTGAATCCCTTATATGTTAGGTACTAGGTCCCTTTGGATGGTGGCTTATACACATTATCTTCCTGTCCAGAGTCTGTCTCCTCACATTACTATTTCCTTTCCTACTTTGACATAATCACTTTGAGTACCTTTTGCTTTTGTTACTCTTGCTTTAGGGATCAAGTATAATAACTTATTTCCCACATCAATGTTGTGTTGCTTTTCCCTTATATTTCAAGTACTTTAACAGTTTTGTAATCCATAATTATAATGTGCCAACTTGACTTGAATAAAAACTCCCTACAAGAATTGTGAAGCTCTGGATATGACTGTGGATGATTTACATGTAGGCTACAAACTGAATTAGAGAGACCCATCCCAGATATGGGTGGCATCAACCAGGTGGATTGTGGCCTGGGAGAGAAGAAAATTTTCTCTTTTTTTCTTTGGAGGAGCTCCAGTCTTCGCCATTTTTTTGAAAGTTTTTCTTCACTTCCTTAAGCCTCCTAAAGCAGATCTTCAGTTTTGCAACACAAACCTTTCATCATTCCCAACAGACTCAAAACCAGACATGTCAATGTACTCCAGGCCTTCCATTTTTCACCTTTGGATAATCCCTACCTCTCAGGGATTATCTCAGACAGCCATTCTGCATTTAGTTTTCACCTCAAATTTGATAAAAGGCCTTTGGGACTCTTCAGCTTGTGATCCTTTGAGACCACCTAGTAAATCCTTTATATAATCATACATGTATTTCAATATATTTCTCTAGTGATCCCTAAATAATATAAGATTACAACATTTAAGATTTACTCCATTTTTAGTTGACTTTTGTAAGTGGTGTGAATTTAATTTTGTTTGGTTACATTAGCTATCCAATTTTCTTAACATAATTTATTGAACAATGATCATTTTCCAATGTCTATTCATTTCACCTTTATTAAAAACCAGTTGTTTATTCATATACACCATGTGTTTATTTCTAACCTAATTTTTCCCTTGGTTAATGCACCATATTTTTAATGCTAGTAACATAGTGTTTTAATTACCAGAGCTTTGCATTATAGCTTGAAATCAGTTAACGTGATGCCTACAATTTTTTTTCTTTTTATCCATTATTACCTTCTGTTTAGAAAGTTTATGCACTTTTAATTATTTTGCGGTGTTGTTTAAATGAAATTCAACAACTTTATATTTTATTAAAATCAATAGAATTTAAGTGAAACCACTGACCTCATCAGTGTTTTCTCTATAACTCATTTTGCTTACCATTGAAATAGGAATTGGTATATTTATTTAAAAAAGAATGAGAATTATATATTATAATTTTAAGGCTGACAGTGATTCTTATTAATGTTTTTATTTTTTTAATTTGAATCATAGTTTTGAACATCTATCACTATGCTTAATGTCAAAGAACATATGATAAGCAATACAGAACCGGGCTCTTCCTTGGATGAGTCTATGCTACAGCGAGAGACAAATAACACTAAATAGTATGAGTTGCTAAATAGATAAAGTATAGAAATACTATAAGGAAACTTAAAAAAGAAACTAATTTACCTTTTTCTGAGACTTATTCAAGACAAATGGTGCAGAGAATATGGAAGGAGTGCTGAGAGAGAGAGAGAGAGAGAGAGAGAGAGAGAGAGAGAGAGAGAGAGAGAAACTTTCCAGAGGGAAGAAATAGTGTGTTTTAAGAGACAAGTTGAATTCAACAAAGATTGAGATTATTCAGTATTGTAGTATGAAGTTTCAATTTTGTAAGTCATCAATTTCACACTTCCTGTGGCAGCGGCATGTTAATTTTAAACAAGCAAAACATCTGGAGCAGCCACATAAGCGATGATGAACAGAATCTCTGCTGCCTACAAAGGCACAGGGTAAGTTAGGAAGAGAGAAAAAGAAAAAGTAGCAGATAAGTCCATGTAGTGAAAGGAGCAGGTCATGTAAAATCTTGCCAACCATATTAAGGATGTTTGTGTTTATCCTTAATTTTAAAGGAAAGAATGATGTGATGAGGCTAAACTATTTAGAAGAATATTTGGCAATTGTGTAGAGAAGACAAAGAAGAATGGATGAAGCAGATCCAGTTAGATGATACTAAGTATTGAATGGTTGTGATCCAAATAAGTTATATACTGAAGCATTAATGCTATTTAACTGATTTGAGCTTTTGGGACACTATTAGGTCTGAATAAGGTTAACAAGGGCATAGCTCCCAGCATGGAATAAGTGTCCCTATAGGAGAACTGTGAGGAACCAGAGTTAAGTCTTTCTCGATATGACGGACATAGCAACCTGATCTTCCATAATCCAGGAACAGGGGTCTCACCAAAAATAAAGTCTGCTAATATCTTAATCTCGGACTTCTTAGCCTCAAGACCTATAATAAACGTGTAACTTTTGCATTTTTATACCAGCCTGAATTGACTAAGACATAAGAAGGAATGTATTTCAGGCAAATGGTGTAACGAACCCAGACAATAACTATGGTGGTAGGAGAAAGTAATCAGTGTGGAAAGCTTTTTAAAGATGAATAACCATAATACTGAAAATGCAAAGCACTATACTTTCTCTCTGGTACTCATAAACTAAGCCACCTGTGCTCATGCTCAGATTCTCAACATGACATCTAAGCACTGCAGAACTTTGCACAAGTACTCTCCTGCTACTACACTTATATCAGTATATTAAGGATAGTAAGAATATCTACACCCGATAGAAGTACTGTAGGAAATAGATCAATATGTTCAAAATACATAGAAAACTATCCGCCACTTACCAAATGTTGCTAACAATTATTGGTTATTAATAGGATATGCCTGTAAATAAAGGGAAATCATTGAGCAATATTCATGGGTTCCTAAGCCATATCAAATGAAGGAGCTACAAATTTTAAGATCTTACAAGTAAAAACTTTTTTTCATGTTGAATTGATTGACTATTATGTATCATTGAACATGTGAAGCCCTATATTTTTATTTAGAGCTTCAAAAGTTACAATTTAATGATAAAAATGATTGTTTTTAGGCTTTCAACATGGCCGAATAGAGGAGCTATTCAGAAAAAATCAACTGAAAACACAGGTAATTGGAAGAAAGGAAGGGATATATATTCTGATCACAAAATCACCCTGAAATAAGATGTATATATCAAACAAAACATAGGCACAGGACTTCATAAAACAGTGTACCAGCCCACAGAGCTGTCATTGTGCTTCCGCCAGCATGAAATCTGTGGGACAGGAAAGTTTCAAAAAAACTGCAAAAGTGTGGCAAACTCAACCCACAGAGGACAGATCTGGGATACAAAGCTCCTCACCCCTTTTGCTTTCTTGCAAACAGAAGACATTGCAGCCTGGCAACAAATTCCACCAGCATACAGGAAGCTGCTCCCTCCCTAACCTGAGGCCAGGTTTGATTTTTGTTTTTTGTTGTTTGCCATAGAAGCCAAATGGATGCTCTAGCAACAAGATTAGAAACCACAATGAATAGTAAGTGGAGGTGTACACCCGTCTTATCCTGTGACTCGTGGCCTGAGAGAAGGATGCAGGTGGCAGCAAGATTCCAACAACCTTGAGCCACCCACGGGGTAATGAGTGGGAAGGCAGCACTCCTCTCCCTCGCTATAACTAATGTGGAAGGAGCCAATGAAGCAGAACAGAGGAGACCATGCAAGGTCCAAGGAGAGCCAACTGTACACAGAATAAGGAGCAGCCTTGGGCTTTATATGACTGAGGGAGCCACAGCAACTGGGAGATACAGGCAGATGTGCACAGGGTAAGGAGGTGTGGGTGGGCTGCTAAGGGACATCCAAAAAGCTTCTGGCAGAAGACTGGACCCATCCCTCACTTCTGAAGACCAAGGCCAGCCCCACACCCAGGGATAATCTTACTGCAGACATGGTGGGTGGCATAGATTTGGATTCCCAGTTGACCACTGCAACAGAATTGTGGACGCAAGAGGAATTTTATTTTCCCTTTTTTTCTTTCTCTGTTTAATTTTAATTTATCTGGAGTTTTTTTAGTTAAGTTTTTACATTTATTATTTGCTTTGTTTTTTTCATCTTTTTTCTCTATTTCTTCAGCTGTCTTGATTTTGTCATAGTTTCATTTTAGTGAATATGGTCTCCAGTCTTTCTGGTATGTTTTGATATTCTTTTATTTTCTCCTTCATTCTTTCTCTCTGGTCCTTCTGTCTTGTTCCCAAAGCTTGGGTGATCAAATATTAGTCTTCAAATTTGATTCTTATAGAGCCCTCTAAATTTATCTCTCTTCTTTGTCATTTATCCCTCTTTGATTACACACACACACACACACACACACACACACACACACACGGTAAAATCACTCTCCTAAGGGGAAATGCAATACATACAAGTTTCTGGTTTATATTAGTTTTTTTTTTATATAACTGCTGATCTTGCTGTCATGGTTAAAGGTACCAAATTAATAGATGCCACACTTTGTGAGTTTCTAGACAGTGTTTGATGCGAGTGTTATTGCTAATTGTACTACATGAATGAGGGTTCATACCCGATTTAATCAGTTGCTCTCCCTTGTATAACAACATGGTGATTGTCTGGAATCACAACCATCACCACAGTCCAGTACTAAAGGTCTAGGTGCTGATCCAAATAGGAACTTCTCATCTCTAATAAATTGTAAGGTAGAATCTTGGGACAGACACAAAGACCAAGAGCCAGCTACACTTATAAGACATTTCTGAGGAATAGATATTTCCTAAGGAAAGCCTCAATACTATTGATAAATTTATCTACCATAAGAAATTTACAAGCATCAAGACAAAAAACAAATTAAAGTTTAAAAACCAGAAAAAGACAAGATGCAGAAACAAAATGCCACCCCAGACCTCTAACCCACCCAGAGAAAATACAGGGGAAAATGATATAGGAGAAATCAGAAATCAACCACCTGTATTTTCTGAAGTGATAGCAGCAGAAGAAACAACAACAACAATACATGTATAAGACCACAGAAAAATTAGATCAGAAATAATTTCTCAGGTAAAAAAGATGGTGATCAAGATGAATGACTTACTTAGTGAATACAGTATAGACACAGATTTTAAAAAATAAAGGAGCTTAGCAGAATGATGGCAATTATGATTGCTCAACATAAGAAAAAAAAAGGAATCCAGGAGACAGATTCAAACATATATCCAGGATAACAAAAACTTCATTTAAAATATACGCAATTATTTAACCTGAGGTAAAGACAGAATTTCGGATCTAGAAAACATGATTGCATTTACTGACCACAAAAAGAAAGATATCATAACAACAACAATATGCCATGAAAAAATCAAAACAACAATTACAAAATTATGCAAAATAAAACAATATAATACTGATGAGAGTCAACGAAAATGCAGGAGAAAGTGCAATTGCCAAAAGAAAACATCTTCACAGATGTAATGGCAGAAAACTTCCCAAACTTGAAAAAAACATTGAACATATAAATAAGTGAGGCATAGAGAACTGCAAATACTCATGACCTAAATAAATCCACACAGAGGCATATAGTAATCAAAATTCTATAAATTCAGCACAAGAATAGAATATTTCATGCTGCTAGAGAAAAGAAACACATCACCTATAAAGGCAAACCCATCAGAATCACAACAGACTTTTCACCACAACTCTCAAGGAAAGGAGAACTTAGAGTGAAGTATTCCAATAGCTCTCAGATGAAGTACAAATGGCAAATAAATACTTAAATCTTCAACATCACTCGTTATTCGAAAGATACAAATTCAAACAGCCCTGAGATTCCATCTCACTCCAAAAAGAATTGGTATTATCAAGAAATCAATCAATAACAAATGCAGGTGGAGCTGTTGGGAAGAAGGAACTTTCACTCTTGGTGGGAATATGGACTGATGCAATCATTGTGGAAATCAGTGTGGAGTTTCCTCAAGAAGCTAGGACTATAGGTTCCATTTGACCCAGCTATCCCTCTTTTCAATATCTTCCTGAAAGAATTGAAAACATCATAACACAATCATATATGGACACTCATGTTCACAAGAGGACAGTTTGTAATAACTAAATCTTTGCAACAACCTAAATGCTCATCAACTGATGAGTTGATGAAGACAATGTGGATTTTTTTAATACAATGCAATACTACTGAGTCATAAAGATGGATAAACGAGATATTTATAACTAAGGTGCACTTATATATCATACTTTTAAGTGAAATAAATTGGGCACACTTGTATGAATATCACATTGTTTCTTTGGTGTAACAGAAAGTATTTAAAAAGCCCAAAATAATAATAAATAATGTGAAATAGGAAGTAAACATTCAAATGGGAAAGGGTCCTAGAGAGGGTAGAGGGGGAAATAAGGAAAGGAAAAAGGGAAATAAAACAAAAAAACAAAGACAATATAGATACAAAGCTTTGTAAATAAGAAGGGGAAGAAGGGTTGAAAGGAGGGGAGAAGAATGGAAAAAATAAGAAGATATATCAAGCTTGTCTTTTAAAGGTGTGTTTACAAACTTCCCAATGGTCACAATCACACACAAAATAAATATATATATCACTTAATAAGTAACTTCATTTCTCTAGTAAAATATGAATGAGTTGCTTAATCACCAATGTCCATACATAACTACACTTTCTCAAGAGCATTAAGATTATTTAATCTCTCTAAGAATATATCAGTAAAAAAAATGTATAAATACCATTTATACTTACCTATAATATTTTAAGAATTTAGCAAGCTTGGACTCACTTAAAAACTGAGTTTATCTTTATCCTACAAAACACAATTGTCTTCTTTGATATGATGAACCATTATTCTAGAATGTATTTATTAATAAAATAATAGTAATCTGATGTGTTCTTTTTTCTTCCAGTTTTTTATAAAATAATAACCTACTCCACAATTATAATAATTTTACCATGAAAGACTACAGTTTTGTGCACCTTGAAGTTTTTTAAAACCCCCCAAAATATTAAAAGGCTGAAAATGGCCATCTGGAATCCCCAAATCCAAAAAGAAGCCACATGACATTTATGATATTGTCTGGCATTAAAGTATTTCTTATGAATTTGATACTTTTGATCATTTCTTTATACATGAACACATTCTGCAATTTCTGATCTCCTTAGAGAATATAGGATAACTGTTTTCTTTTTATGGGATTATTAGAAATATATATTATCATTATTAGTAAATATATAGAAATATATATTAGCATTATAATTATTAGCATTATTTCCTCATTACTAATAAAATTTTTGTAAAAATGCTTAACTTTCATGTATAAATTATAAACTTGAGAAGTTTTCCATAGATGAACTTTGTTTTAACATATTTGTTTATTTTCCCATAATGGAGTCTGAATCCAGGGCCTCCACACTGAGCTATATACTAAACTCTTTTATGTTTTTTTACTCTGAGTTCGTATTTTACTAAGACACTAATGTGTCCATGTTGGGTTCAAACTTGAAATCCTCCTCCCTCAAATTTCCATAATGCTGAGATTTCTTGCATTCACCAAAATCCCTGACTGTCTAGATGGATTTTAATTTTTGTTTTGTTTTGTTTTTGTTTTTAGTTCTGGGGATCAAAGTCAGAACCTTGCACTTGGGAGGCAGGCAGTAGCACCACTGATCTAAATCCCGGGCCCTCAATGTGTTTTAAACCTTGTATCATTTCACCAAGCCACATACTACCAATTCAAATAGTTATTTGAATTTGTGTCCTATGTTTCTGTGTGCAAATATTTACTGAGCTGCCATAACAGATTATAGAATATTCTCATATGTCATATTATCACCGGAATGAGTAAAGATAATTTAATTTTTACATCTGAAGTAATCATGAAACCATGGAAATACGACTCCCAGTAAGTCTAAATAAATATATACCAAACTCACTTCCCATTTATTTGCTCTTTAGAATGCCAATATTTCATGGAAAGAAGCTGGATTGAAAAGAGACCAGACTAGGAAGTGATTTTTATTTACATATCTTACTTATTCAAACTGTATAAAAGCACGATTCTCTGAACACATTGCAAAATCTTGAGATCCTTCAAAGAGGTCTGGGAATG